TTTGGAGCGATCAATTTCAACACCATTTAATTCATAACGAATCTCATTAAACAGGTAGGAAATACCATTGCTAATTAACTTTGTATTAGTTACAAGCGTATTGTTAGGCTTAACAATTCTTCCAGTGACGTGTAGAGTACTTTTAGAGGGAAGAATGTACAAGTCTTGATGTTGAACTGCAATTCGAATCTCGTCACTGTTATTAAATGCTGATGACACGTATGGTTGATGTGCATGAATCTCATAGTGTGCCACAGAATTATCAAATTTTACTGGACTTAGAATGTTTAAAATCTCTTCCATTTTTGTTACAACAACAAATAAAAAGTATGTGAAAAATTAATTTTTTCCCTTGTTTTCTTGATAAACTCTTAGGCCGAGCTGCTTCAGAAATAGTATGTTCTGAGATGTTAGTCTCTTGCGAACTGATTGAGGAATGAATGACTTCTGACATGGTAACTCATTTATATAGCTTCTACCAGTTTTTCTATGAAATACAATTCCCATTACGTTGATTTAACGTGTAATCGAATTGTTATAGTTTCACCTCTAAAATTTATTAAATCTCCGTCTTGATCAACGATTCTTATTTGAATATTATGTATTGTCTTCACGGCGATTGGAAGGTAAATGACGTGAGATGGAACTTCCACAATCTTATATCCAGCTGGTACAATTGGAAAAAATTCGTGAATTGTGTGTACCTTTTTATTATTTATGTATGCACCAGTAGTAATGTTACATTCAATTCTGATAGCATTTACCTTAAGAATGGCTACTGGTACATCTGACGTATGAGGTATATTAGCTGTCAATATTCGTGGAGTAAATCCTAATAATTTACCAATTGAATCGTTTTGTTCAAAACTCACTTCAAGGCTGCTTGTTATTTCACTACGTAAAGTATTATTGTTAGGTTTGATTCTTACAATTTCAGATCCATTTTCAATAGAGTTTTGAATATATTTTTCAATATCTTCAATTTCATAGCTTCCAGGGGGTATAGTAATCACTTTATCACCAATATAAAATTTATTTTTACCTTGATCAATATTAGGAATTGAATTGAAGGTTAGTAATTCAACTAAGCCAAGTACATAATTTTTATTAGATAATAATTCTATCGGAGGAAAATATTCTGCCTCCAGGACAGATGAATTGCCTGAGATAGTCAGAGTAAAAGATTCTTCCATGTTGATGACTTTTTATATACTGATTAGCTGCAATGACTTACAATCACTTATATAGAATATATTTTTGAGTTATTTCAAGCTGTCCACATAAGAATTTTAGACATAAATGACCACAATTAAAGCTATTATAATCTTGATAATTTTGATGATTATACTGTATTAAAGTATTGTAACCTAAGTAATTGACAAGTTCATAGGGTGGTTGAAGATTTCCAAAACTATCAAAGTATACTGCTTTATTATTAACTTTTTTATATGCAACCCAATGAGTTCCAGAACCATCTTTATCATCTAAATTAATAATGGCGGATTCATTTTTTCGAGGACCACTTATAGGTAGTTCATTTCGCATAAAAACTCCTCGAAAATGGGAAATTTTCATTTCTTTAGCATATTTAAGTAAATCTAGATCTGTAAGTGCTCGTTGAGGCAGCTTTAAACTTTTTTTTTTTCTACATCGCCTCTTAATACCTTGTCCTTTAACGTATGGTTTCAAATGAAGTCCCAACCCTTTTCGGTATGGTTTTAAATGTAGACCTTTGCCAAGTGCCACTGCTTCCAACTCTCTATTATGACGCTGAGCTTCCTTCAACTGCTCTTTTGCTGCACTTGCATCATTAACAGCTTTTGCTACACCAGCAGCTCCCCCAGTAAGCGCTCCAAGTGCACTTAGACCAGCAAAAATTGGAATTAATGGTAACAGACCACCAACTTTTGATGGAACAGGTAGAATACGAGGTGTTAAAACCTTTTCTCTACCACCTGCTTTCCTTACAGCTTTTCGAGCTGTTTCAATAGCTGACTTTATTGTTGATCGAGCATCATTACCAGGAATTATTGATTTTCTTGCAGCATCCACAATTTTTCTAAGATTTACTCGTTTTTTTGATTTTGTCTTCTTTACTCGTTTCTTTGACTTTGTCTTCTTCTTCTTTACTCCCATTCCAAATTTTGATTTTGCTTTCATAGCGTTTGTTATTGCGTAAGCTGCAGCTCTTTCACTATATTGTGCGTCTGGAGCAAATACACGTTGCCACGCTTTGTCAGCTAATACTCTATCAGCAGCGTTTCTTTCTTCAACGTTTTCTCGATTTTTCGAGTAAGCAATATCGTGCTCTTTACAAGCGGCGTCTAATGGATTAACACCTGGATCACCTCGGTCTAGACGTTTTGCTAACTTTGTGCCTGGTCCACAATATTGATAACCTGGCAAATGTAATTCAAATGGTAACTTGTTTATAAGTTTATTAATTAACCCTTTTCCTTGAGAGCGATGATGTATAATCATACCTTACTCTGTGAAAGTTAAAATTAGAATGACTTGTGAGCTATATAAGCGCTGTATTTATACCTTTAGCGGCAGTCTAAATCAGAATGCGGTTCAAGGAACAACTTCACAAGCTGCCAGTCGTCAATCTAGACTCGATTGTTGAACAACAAGAGAAGAAAGTGAAGCGTCATGGTAGTTTATTTTCCGGTAGTATTCGAGCTATTTTTTGTGGACCATCAAATTGTGGAAAGACAAATGTACTCCTTTCTTTAATTTTACATCCTAATGGTCTTAGATTTGATAATATTTACTTATACTCAAAGTCTTTACATCAACCCAAGTATAAATTCTTGGAACAAGTTGTTAATAATGTTGAAGGAGTAGAGTATTTACCATTTAGTGAGCATGAAGAAGTCATTACTCCTAAAGATGCAAAACGAAATTCAATATTTATATTTGATGATATTGCTTGCGAGAAGCAAGATAATGTAAGGGCATTCTTTTGCATGGGTAGACATGTTGATGTTGATTCTTTTTATCTTTGTCAAACATATGCCCGCGTTCCTAAACATTTGGTACGTGATAATGTTAATTTACTAGTTCTTTTTCGTCAAGATGAGAAAAATTTAAAGCATGTTTATGATGATCATGTTAATACTGACATGACATTTAATCAATTTCGAGAACTATGTTCAACATGTTGGAATTCAGACAAATATGGATTTGTAGTAATTGATAAGGATTCTGATTTAAATGATGGAAGGTATAGAAAAGGATTTGATAGCTTTGTAACACTATAAATATAGGATCATCCCTAAAATATTGTTAGTTCAATATGAAACCTTGTAATAATAACATGTTTCATAAAGAAAAAGAATATCTTCATCAAATTGCTAAAGCTAGCGAGGCAATTAGGCGAAAACATCGTATGTTAAAATTAGGAAAAGAAGAAGCTGAAAATGTGCTGACTGAAACTTTTAAACCGATAGTTCAACCCTTACAAAAAATTATTAACTTGACAGACACTGAACATGAAAATATCAAGATTGAAAAGAAAGAGCAGAAGATGGATGATAGCATATACTTTGAAAGTGAAACTGAAAAATCTCCAGATGATGATAAAATAAGTAATAAATTTCTATACTTATTAAATCATAATAGAAAGCAATGTTTAGATTCAACATACGGCATACGTAAGCTAAGTGATGGATCACTTATGATTGGTGATTCACCAATAACTCTTGAAGATCAGCATGTAAAAATTGGTAATAAACGATATCTTCAAACGCTTGGATTACTTGAACTTTTATTTAAAAGTAAACCTACTACATCGCTTATAAGTGAAGATGATGAAAGAAACTATAAAGAGATTCTGATTGCTACTAATGCACACAAAAAGAAGTATAGTTCCTCTGAATCTATACGTACGGATAAGAGTTACAAGTATTTGAATTTTATATCTCAATTCTTCCCTCGAACACCTACCAAACGGTCATCTGTAAGCGGTAGTTCATTACCTAAATTTATGATTACAAACAAAAATTTTCAACGAGAATATATCTATTGGGATGATCCAAATGAGTTGGTTGACCGTCTTAGACTATTAATGGCTTCTCAAGCTGCTGGAAATCCTAGTCACAATAATGAAATCATGTCTATCATTGAGGAACTACGTGAAGCTAAAATTATATATTAAGATGTGTTTTAGCAAATATCATTCATTTCAACAATGAGCATTGACGTGTTCGGACATCCTCTCAATCAAAGAGGAACAGCAAGACGAGGGCCTCCTGGAGTTGGTTTTAAACTTAATTCTCAAGGTAACTTTGACGTTGAAGGAAGAAAACTCTCTAATCTTGCTAACGCTGAAGAAGAAAACGACGCTGTCAATTTAAAACTTGTACGACATATGATAAAACACGAAGTGCGTTTATTGTATGAAGCTAGTGCCTCACTTAGATCAGAGGTGGACAATAACAACTTATTTCTAAAAGTTCTTGAAGACTCTATTACAGAAAAAATAAAAAATTTTGAAAAAGATATAAATCAAGACTTATCTTATCGAACAGCTGAAATTATTAGTGAATTGGATACTCGCTTAAGTGCTCTCGAGAATGAACAACAAAAAATTAACAGTAGTGAATGAACTTCATACCCAGGCTAGAAAAAATTATCCTCGACGGCGAGTTGAAATGCGTGATATTGATGAGACATGGCAAGCAGATTTAGTAGAAATGATACCTTATTCAAGAATAAATAAAGGTTTCAAGTATTTACTAACAGTTATAGACATATTTTCGAAATATGCTTGGGCTGTTCCAGTAAAAAGTAAAAATGGAAAAGATGTTTCTCATGCAATGCAATCTATATTTGCTAAAAAACGCATACCAAAAAACTTGCATAGTGACAAAGGAAAAGAATTCTATAACTCACAATTTGAAGCATTAATGAAAAAGCATAAAATAAATTTTTACTCAACATACAGTAATATGAAAGCTTCCATTGTTGAACGGTTTAATCGAACACTAAAAAGAAAAATGTGGATGCAATTTAGTTTACGAGGAAATTACAAGTGGTATGATATATTGCCTACTCTTATTTCCAACTACAATAATACAAAACATAGAACAATTGGAATGAAGCCTAAAGATGTTACTTCAGAAGACGTTGAAATTTTAAAAGAAAGGATCTCTAAACTGAGAAAAATTCCTTTAAGACGACCAAAGTATAAAATTGGTGATAAAGTTCGAGTAAGCAAATATAAAAACGTTTTCGAGAAAGGATATACACCCAATTGGACAACAGAAATATTCACCGTGGATCAAGTTGTATCAACTCAACCAGTGACTTACAAGCTCAAGGATTACCAGGATCAACCCATCAGCGGAGGATTTTATGAAGAGGAACTTCTTAAAGTAAAATATTCAGATATTTATCTTGTGGAAAAAATTCTCAAGACACGTGGAAACAAAGTTCTTGTCAAATGGCTTGGCTTTGATAATTCTCACAATACGTGGGAAGATAAAGCAAATGTATAATCTATTATTCGCAAATCGTCCCTAGTAACTTAACGCAAATGTCAATCAACCAGCAAATCAATCAAAGATTAATGTTAGCGTAGAACCTCTCTATAAATCAAAACTACTTCCAACAACAGACCTTTACACTGCCAGTGCCAAATTTAATTAACATTAAATCAATAATGAATCAATAATGAATCAACAATGAATCAATAATAAATCAACAATGAATCAATAATGAATCAATAATGAATCAACAATGAATCAATAATGAATCAACAATGAATCAATAATGAATCAATAATGAATCAATAATGAATCAATAATGAATCAACAATGAATCAATAATGAATCAATAATGAATCAACAATGAATCAATAATGAATCAAATCAGTTGGCACTGGCATTGTGAAGGTCTGTTGTTGGAAGTAATTTTGATTTATAAAGAGATTCTACGCTAACATTAATCTTTGATTGCTTTGCTGGCTGATTGGCATTTGCGTTAAGTTACTAGGGGCGATTTGCACATTTAAATTAATATAAGTTTTAATCATATGTTATTATGTATATATGGAAGGATTTTTTAAATAAAAACACATGGAAATTGTATATATAATTGCATTATTTATTAACAAACCTTTTATTTTTTTTTTACAATCATGTTTTACAAAATCATTCGTCGATTTTAGGGATCGCATAATGTCCCCACGGTAGAGTGTCGGTACTCCCCGGTAACAAATACCGTTTGTCGTCTTGCGGACTTAAAGCTACTTTAATTTGTTTTACAGTCTCGAGGTTATGTAGTCGCGATCTTATATTATACTGTGTTCGAGTTTGAATGTCAAAATCTCGCAGACATTTTACATAATCATCAAAGTGAATCGATTTTTTCACAACGCCGGATTTAATGCCTTTAGCTTTTTTAATAAAATCTTTACCTTCAACCCGTACGCTGTACATCTTACTCCGCAAGCCAACAAATTCGGTAACGATCTTGCCGTTACATTCGTCTTTCATTAGACCGAGAATCTTTTTGTTGGCTTGCGGAATGCCGTACACGTTGTTTGCGGGATAGTCTGACGTATCGAACTTTTGGATGTCATTTTTCATATCATTGTAGACATCTTTACATTTAATTTCATAGATTAGACTGTCTGTATCGGTATACATCAGTTTACAATTGTCGCCGTATTTTTTTAACATATACCCGTAGTGAAAATCGTAGATTAGCGTTTTGGAAACATCGAGCACACTTAACCCCACATAGATTGGTTTGTTGAGTAGTACCTCGGTTTTACGCAGTTCAATGGCAACCAGATTTTCGTCGAATATTGCTCGACTATGGAAATTGGGGCGAGAAATAAGGGCTTCAGCTCCATAGCGGCCTAAACCATTGGGTGACAAGCTTAATGTCGACATGTTTACGGACATTTTCCATTGTTTTGCCGTACACAGCGTTGTTCATGAGCTTGAACAAATTTTTCTCGAACTCATTTTTGGCATTGGTTCGCATCATCGTATTATAGTCTATATATGGTTTAAGCCATGTTGATTGCTTAAACTGTAAGACTCGATGAATTTTAACAAGCTTAATGCCGTTGGCGACAACTTGTTTTAAAGTGCGGTAGTGGATCACATATTTTTCTTTTGGTTGGAGAGTTGTTAATAATTTCTCCTGTTTCGAGAGGGGTGGTTTCGCATTTTCTGCGCAAAATGGCATATCTTTGTGAGTATCGTGGAGATTTTCAGGATACTCCAAGTCAACTTCGAGTATGTACCCAACAGGTGAATCGTCAGGCACATTAAAATCGAAGGAGTTGTCGACATTATCAACCCATTTGAAGCCGCCATAAGGGAGCGCTTGAGCCATTGCCCAGCCATATAAATTGTTGGCGTCAAAGTACATGATGTAGCTTGTATCTTTGCTATCATCGAAATTTTCCATATATCTATTATTCGCTATAGTATATCGGTTGCAGCATTGACTTATGCCACCTCTAATACCGGACTCAACAAACATAATCATATCGATATCGGTTATTAGTTGCAATCCTATGCTCGTGTACTTGAGCATAGCATCCCAAGTTAAACCGGGGGTCGTATAATAGTGAGCAGGATCTAACCCGTACGCTTTAACACATTCTTTTCGAAAATTTTCAAAGACATCCGCAAGTAACAATACATCTGTTTTCATATACAAATGTACATAGTCGTAGAGATTCTGACAGTCAAACTCGGTCCATACTTTCTGCGCATGCGCATACTCGTCATCAGAAATACCGGCATCATAAAGCGTACTATAAAATTTCTCGATCGGGGGCAATTCTGTCTCATCTAACTTACTTTTCGAGTCAAAGTACTCATAAGGGAATACACCCTTGCGCGTCAATAATTTAATTTTTTCCGGATCTGTCACCGTACTGGCAAAAACGGAGTTGACGATTTTGTACTCGTCTAGGTACGATGCGAGTTTCTCTAGAGATGCTGCCATAAATCGCAATGAGTCAATGAATCGAAATTTGACCTCACTCCCCTTGACATGTTTAGTAAAAGAGATATACTTCTCTTTGTTAATGGGGAGGAGGTCAATTTTTCCTTCAAAGCTCGTCGAAATCGCGTGAATTATAAAATGGGCGTCATAGCCACTTAGGTTGTGAAATACTACGGGGATCGTTTGACAATCTTGATAGTTTAGATTGCACGATTCATGGGCAGCACCCCTATATTTGCCAGTAAGGTGACAGTGATCACGGACTTTCTTTTCGCTTGCCGGTATTTTCTCATTACAAATGTGACATATTGTCGCTTGCTTGAAGTCACTGATTTCTTGAGGAGTTAAGGCATTCATTGGTATCGGATTTTTAAATACATTATCAATTTTTTCAGATAATTGCCTTAATTCCTCAGTAAACCATTTGGCAGGGTCGGATTCATTTTTCGGACATGGTACATATTTACATAATGATTCATCGTAGCTGCATTTTATATAATAGCCTATGCTTAACAATTTGTGACGCTGGAATACCTCAGTCTTACTTAAATTGTCTACATCTTCATCGGCGGGAAGAAGTAGACTTTCACAGTCAGCGTAAATTACATATGGCACCTTTTCTTTATTTTTATAATTTTTAAATGTAATCAGACTCTTGTCAGGTTTTGGTAACGTTACTTTACACTCATTCACTTTTTTACAATTTTCAATGTGTGCATTCAATCTATCTACAGATGAAAAGTAGTGTAAGCATCGGTCACAGATATGTTTTTTACCATTTTTAGCAGACAATTGTTTCGAAACAAGATGTGACAAATTTTTTATCCATACATAATGGAAATTCATAAAACCATCATCGTCATACAATACATTACTGTCAACACTTTCATCCGCATACATGTCGGCAACATACAAGAGATTTACATGCTTATCTCTTTTTTCCGCAGTGAGATGGAGAGGATGTGTTGAGAAGTCCCCATAGTATTTTGATAAACCATAGACATTAATTGAAATATCATTTAATTTTTCAAATTTCGGGACATTTTTTAACGTTACTGGGAAATCTATTCCGTCAAAATTTAACTCATTTTCAAATTCTTTATAGTTAGAAACACGATCACTTCTCACGACATTTGGATGTAAGGCTGACAGTACCGCCCACTTAAAGCACTCGTTATCTTTGTTTTGCACGTTAATACAGGCTTTCTTTCTTTTAATTTGTGAAGGTAGATCAATGTATGAGCTCGCACGCATTGGATTGTATTTGTTTACATTCACTTCAAGTCTTATAATAGACTGAAGATTCCAATTTGAACCCTTTGCGTGAAACTCTTCTACACTGCGCAAGATTGGCTGCTTGATGTTCTCATCAAACCAATCATCTAAAAGGGTTGTGGGGAAGATGCTGTTAGCCTTAGTTCCAAACGGAATTGGCTTAGCTACTTCTTCCTCATTCTCAACCCTTTTAAAGTTGGCAATGAGAACACCATACACCAAAATAGGACCATATTTGTTTATAGCATCTCTAATGCGGTCCTGAAAAAGTCTAGACGCATCGTCTAAAAACGCGCTTATATCAATGTGCACTAGATTCAGGATCACATTAGTGTACAGTCTACACGCAAACGCACTCTCACATTCTTCCCAGCGAACACGTTTATTAATGTCTGGGTCACCGATTCCAGCGCCATCTACTACGTGGGACTCAAATAATGCGCGAAGTCTAATTATGGATTGTAGAATGCTCACACATCTTTTCTTTTGATGTGTAAAGTACATCGACTTGAGAATGCTCGATAACACGTTTTCATGTTGTGAGCATTCTACAATCCATCTCCCAACGAATGAACGTCTTAAATTGACGTCGTCTAAAAGAGGAATCAACTCTAGAGCCTCCTTGATGAGAGTAATAGTTACGTCACTCTCGTCGAGAATAGTACCGTAATTCGGATACTTACGTGGTGGTCCATCGGTGGTCTTCGCCTTACGCTTCATCTCTGCACCTGAAATTAAACACTTACAAGCTAACAAAAAAGAATAAAGAACACACTTACAAGCTAACAAAAGAACACACTTACAAACTAAAAAGAACACACTTACAAACTAACAAAAGAATGAACTTACAAACTAAAATACTTATACTAAACAAAACGAACTTACAAACTAAAGAACTTAACCTACAAACCAATACAAAGTAAATGCAATAAACACAGTAAATGTAACAAAAAAGACAGTAAATATAACAAAAAAGACAGTAAATATAACAAAAAAGACAATTAGTAATGGCAAGGGGAATCTGCTGATGCTGCTGCTGTTGGAACCGCTGAATCTGTGAACAGAACAGCTACTGACTAAACTCGCCAAAATCCCTGAATATATACCCCGAAATCCCCACTCCTACCTTTCACGCATGCGCCGTTGACCATTTACCCTCACTCCAACCTATCACGCATCCCTACTCTTAAATTTCCCCCCACCTATTCACGCATGCGCAACACTCTTACTCTAACGCAGTCGTAACAATTTC